TGCTGGGGCTTTTGTTACATGGACTAGAATCAGTGCTTGTGTGGCTGAAGTCTGAAATTCTAGGCTTGGGGGTCCATGGCCTCCTGGGATTTTATTTGTTGGCTTGTTTTCTTTTTTCTTGAGTTCTGAGGATCAAATCTGGCCCTCAGTATGCTAGGTAAGTCTATATGGCTTACTTAGCTGCACACACCCTGACCCTTTATTCACTTTAGACGTTGTTTCTCTCTGGCTCTAGCCTGTGATAAGTGCCTTTAACTCTAACTCATGAGGTTTTTTTGTTTTTGTTTTTTTGTTTGTTTGTTTTTGCTACTTGAGCAGTGGTTGTTATTGTCCTATCCTGTGGGCTCTTTGTCTGCTGACCTCACAGGCTCTTGTTTTGAAGTTGAGTGTTTGTTTCCCAAAGCCTTTCAAATAAACAGTGCATTAATCTCCCACTGGAGTTCATGAGGAAATAGGCCTAGAGACAGGAAGTGGTCACCATGCTTTCCAGACTGCTGGGATTCTTGAAGCAAGGAATTGAACCTGAGATAGACTCTATGCACACATGCAAAAAGGAAGGTCTCCCTGCAGAAGATGTTGGTTTACTAAGCCAGTGACCTATCGCCACTTTACCAACACCTCCCTGGATTCCCATGACTTGTTTTCTTAAGAAATCTATAAAAGCTGGGCGTGGTGGTGCACACTTTTAGTCCCAGCACTGGGGTGGCAGAGGCAGGTGGGTCACTGTGAGTTCGAGGCCAGTCTGGTCTACAAAATGAGTTCAGAACAGCCAAGGCTACACAGAGAAACCCTGTGTAGCCCTTTTTTTTTTTTTGTTTAGAAAAACAAAAACAAATAAACAAACAAAAAAACAAGAGAAAGAAAGAGAAAGGAAGGAAGGAAGGAAGGAAGGAAGAAAGAAAAGAAAGAAAGAAAGAAAGAAAGAAAGAAAAAAAGAAAGAAAGAAAGAAAGAAAGAAAGAAAGAAAGAAAGAAAGAAAGAAGAAATCTATGAGTATGTACCCGCTTAGCTTGAAGATAGGTGAAAGTACCACCTGGCAGCTCCTGGAGCCATTTCAGCAGCCTCCTATTTAGGAGTCTGCCCAGTCCTGTGTGGGCAACTGATGAATACTGATAAAGTATTAAATGAGAGTCTAAATGAGAACATCAGGGTGAGGTCCAAATAATCCCAGGGCAGTACCAGCTTGGATACTGTTTTAGAAAGCGTTTGCTTGGTTGTTGGTTGGTTGTGTGTTCTGACACAGGACCTCACAATGAAGCCCAGGCTGGCCTTAACTCATGGCGGTCCTTCTGCCCAGGCCACCCATGTGCTAGGATTATGCATGTTTTGCTCTGTACCTGCCAGGTGTGCAGTCTTTGACCACGTGCCATGCGTCAGCTGTCAAGAACTTGAAGACAGTCTGTATTTCTTACTGCCTGTAGCACCCCTCACATTCCAGCTAAGAAAAGAGGATCAGGGAAGTGAAGATTCTTGACAGAGTTGCACCGGAAGCAGGCCGCAGGGCCACTGGTGGAAAGCTGGGGTTGGAGCTCATCAGGCCTGTCTGCTCATCGCCTTGAAGGATGAGAAGCAGCAGGAACCCTGTAGATCAGTAGTTCTTGACCCCTTTGTGGGTGTGTCGAATGACCCTTTCAGAGGGGTCTCCTAAAACTGTTGGAAAACACAGATACTTACATTCATAACGGTAGCAAAGTTATAGTTATGAAGTAGCAACAAAAATAATTTTATGGTTGGCGGTCACCACAACAGGAGGAAGTGTATTAAAGGGTCACAGAGCTAGGAGGTTGAGAACCACTGTTGGAGATGTTGCTTTTTGTTGCAGACGATCCTGAAGCTCCTGGTCTCTGGGGGTGGCAGGTCGCGGACAGGGGTGATGATCCCCATCCCACAGTATCCCCTGTACTCTGCCGTCATCTCCGAGCTCGACGCTGTCCAGGTGAACTACTATCTAGATGAGGAAAACTGCTGGGCTTTGAATGTGGATGAGCTACGGCGGGCAGTGCAACAAGCCAAAGACCACTGTGACCCCAAAGTTCTCTGCATTATCAACCCCGGAAACCCCACAGGTCTGCACTTGACTCTCTTACCATTTTCTCAAGGGCTTGGTGTGGCTGGTGTGCGGACACTTTACTAAAAATTTAAGTAACGAAAGGTCCTCTCTGTCCCAGTTTCCCAATTCACTCCAGACTTGCTAAGAGCTATGAAACTCGGGTCAGGCCACCTCAGGAGATGAGAAGCAGGCATTTAAAAATTTTTTTATATATTTACTTTTTGAGTAGGGTTGTGCTACTAACAGGACCTGTTCTTTTTCATATTTAACCTCCATTTGTAAAGAGTCATCTCTTTGAGGTTATTCATTCAAAGTATCATCGTTTAGCCTGAGGCTCAGTTTACATTCACTACATCTTATTTCTCTCAACTGGTTTCAGAATACTGGTGTGTAGAGTTCGGATGTTCCTTTGAGAAGAAAATGCCATATTAAAAAAAAAAATCAAACAAAAAAGCCTGTTTCTAGAAGTTGAAAAGCACCCAAATCTTGAATATTTTTCTTAAAAAGAAAAAAAAAGTATACAGTCCTGCCTGTTCTGACCCCTGAGCTGCTGGTTCATGTGTCTCCAGGGCTCTTTGAATCAGAGAACAAGAACTCTTCTCTCCTTTGTTGAGCTAAGTTGAATTGGGGCCAAAATACATTAGACTTGTTTGTGGAATCTGCTTCTCTGAAACGTGAAATGATGCTTCAATAGCTGCAAACAACCCCATTTAGTCCCCGAAAGCAGCAGAGGTGGGGCTGCAGACACTGGGTGGTGTGTTCCAGTGCCTTGGTAGGGGGTGGCACGAAGGTCCGACCCATGACGCAGTTCAGGGAAATAACACGGAGCTGTGCTCATCAGTACCACAGAGCAAGCTTTGAAAACCTCTCCGGCCAGTCCAGATGGCAGTGTTTTGAAGAGCCGGTGAGAACTACTTCTTCAGGATACTGGTTCCTAAACTTTTAGCTTGTTAAAGTACAGAATGTGGGCTCCACTCACTAACACTTTAATGCCTGGGCTAGGGCTGGGGAATTGGCAGGTCTGTTCAGCCCGAGATGACACTCTGCTGATTCCAGGGCCACACTTGGAACAGCAAGTCCCTTGGCATTTGTCTGCTGAGTCGGCTGTCGAGTCAGTACTTTTTGTTTGTGTCTTTGGAAACTGTGTTCCTGTCTGGTCTAGTACTTGCTCTGTCATCCAGGCAGGCCTCAGAGTCACAGCAGTCCTCCTGCAGGCCCTGAGTGCTGGGGTTGCAGGCATAGGCCACTGGCCTATTGAGTGAGGGATTTCTGCTCAGGTATTTCTGTAAGTCATTTAACCAGCAGTCTGTACCTCCACCAAAGACTTTCCTGTTCTAAGTAAAGAGAAACTTGAATGTATATTATTATAAATAATATTCTCCCTCCCCCTTCCTCTCACTGTTTGAGATAGGGTCCACTATATATCTCTGGTTGTCCTGGAGCTCACTATAGAGACCAGGCTGGCCTTGAACTCACAGATACCTATCTGCCTCTGCCTCCCGAGTGCTGAAAGTAAAGTCATGTGCCACCACACCCAGCCTTATAAGCAATTCTTATGAAGGGTAACTTATGAGTGGGCACCATCTGCCCTTGCTTTTTGGGGTCTTAATGGCTGGAACTCAGTCAGCTGCTAGAAGAGGGGTGGTAGGAAATGGAAACTTTCCAAACGCACATTGTAACCAGCTTGGTTAAAAACTGTCAAAGTGGCTTGAGATGTTAAGCCAGGGTACTTTGGGTTTCAAGACAGAAACCCAGATCAAAACTGAAAGGCCATATGGTAGAACTGTAAAGCCTGGGAATAAAGCAGTAACCTGATTCAGTGTTATTGTGGGAAGGACCTCAGATCATTGCTCAGCTCCGCTGTCCCCTGAGTTGGAGTCCTTCTCAGAATCTGTCCTTGGAGGGCCTTCAGCAACTCCAGCCATTGCTCCTCAGATGAAACCTGAGGATCCATCTTCTGTGATTTTACTGATAGTCCTAGGTTACTTACTGGCCCATCTCAGAAACAGTCAGATCACTAGGTCTCTGATAAGACAGCTCTTTTGTTTATTCATGTAGAAGTCCTGTTTAGGATGGCCTTGAACTTGTAACCCTCCTGCTTCAGTATACCAAGTGCTTGGATTAGAGGTGTGTATCACTCTACCTGGCACTTATGCCAGGGCCATTTCTCTTTATCTTCTGCTGGGGTGTCCTCACAGGGCAGCTGTGGTGTGTTACAGGAGAGGAGGTGTAATCACAGATGTTCCTGTCAGTTTGTGGGGCATTCCTTAGGCCTGTCTTCTGGTGCGGTATACTTAGGGACCTCTTTCCAGCTTTTTGGGCCTGTATCAAAGCTGTGACTTATGTCTCCCTAAACTGGGCATAGTCCAGCCCCTATAAAACCAGATATGATTTCTCTTATTCTTTACAACGGGTCATGTTTGTCCCTTTGGTGTCTCCATGGCTGTGCTGTTTGTGATTGCTGAGTCCCAGGCCCTGGAGAAACACAAGCTTTTCTTTTTGTTCAAGTGTGCATTATGTATATCAGTGGAATTTTTGTACCCATTTGATCTCATTTCCTCCACCAGGCTGAAGCCCTTTCAGGGCTCTGGTTTTCACATTAGTATTTTGTGAACATGTTTTTGTATATTCTAGTGCTCATGTCTCTGCTTATATTCCAGTATGATGTAGTTAGATTGCAAGTCCTCACAAAGGGTTTGCAGGCAGGGTGTACCTACAAACAGGCTCTGTCTGTGACAGCAGTGCTGACTCTGTGGAGAAGCCAGGGCCTGCCACTCTGCTGGAGATGAAGAGCCCTGAGCTTGCTTCTCATGAAGCCTGGCTGGCGCTTGACAGCCAAAGAAACTTCAGCCCCTCACTTAAGAAATTGGCTCGTTGCTTAAATAGTGTAAGGTGAAAATACTGGCTGACTCCTTTTAAGATACATTTCTATATTTTTATAAACATTTTTATACCATTCTATAGATAAATATATAGACATTTTTCCTTTTAGCCAAAAGGTAACATTCTACATGCTTTTTTGCATTATGATATCTGTACATGCAGAAATAATACATGTGTGTATGTTTATGTTTGTGCACATATGCATAACAGACACAGATGCTGTACACACAGTAAAGAAATCAGCAAGCCCACTGAGCACACCAGAGATCCCTGGTGTCACACTGCAAGTGTGTGTGTGTATGTAGGGGAGATTCAGGAGAAAGTTTTACTCCCACCTTCTTCCTCTTTGCTGTCTGCTCAGCAGTATGCCTGTAGGCTGCTGACTTACCATCTTGCCGTTTGCACCCGTTCTCTGACATGGTTGGTGGGTGTCTTCCCTTCTGGTGTTGAGGCGAGTCCTGAAGGAAGCCAAGGAGAGCTACAGCATGCTCTCTCAGGGTCCCTAGCGGTGCCACTTCTCTCTGCAGTAGCCACTGACCAGCCTGGCTCCTTCATTCGGTGTTCTGCAAGTACTGATGTTAGCGCTTGCCGGCTTCAGGGTGAGCTGGGATGAGCCTGTCACTCACTTGTGGGTGTGTGCATCTGCCTTCCTGGGAAGACACCCACAAATTTTCTTCAGTAACTCCAGCTCAGTTACCATATCAACCAGCACAATTTTCTTCATTGTTTGCTGCTGGGGAACTGATGAGATCAACCCCAGTTCTCTTCCTGCTTGCTATGACACCTCCGTGCCTTTCCGTCCTTCAGAAGAGACAAACATCATGCACATATGTGCACACCCCAATCACAGGAATAATGGAAAAGTTAGATGTGAAATGCTGTTCCTTCCCCACCCCTGACCTCATTGAATTAGACAGGAGTGGAGCCTATAGGCTTGGCTGGAGCTTTGTCTCGAGACAGGCAGAGCAAGTAGGAGGGTGTTTGTTCTGGGATCTTCAGGGAACACAGGACACCCAAGTGATTTGGGTGGGAGTATTACTTGGGGACAACTTACGTAGCATTACAACCTACATTTTGGTTTTTTTGGGGATTTTATAGGCCAGGTACAAAGCAGAAAGTGCATAGAAGATGTGATTCACTTTGCCTGGGAAGAGAAGCTTTTTCTCCTGGCTGATGAGGTAAGAGCAGTCCCAGAGATGGGTGGGGTAAGTCGAGAGAGGGAGGGGTGAGCCCTCTCTTGGAGGGGAGGATCCACCTCAATTGTTTTCTAGCCAGAGAGAATTGTCTAGCAGAGTGATTCTGAGCGAGCAACGGTGAGGGTGTTCATTCTTAACGTATGAATTTGGGACATAAATGATCTCTCTGTTGGTTTGGATTTCAGTTGTATTGTAAACACACACACATTCTCCATATATATGGAGAGAGACAGAGACAGAGGGACAGTGAGAGACAGACTTTGCTGTATAACTCAGGCGGCTCTAGAACTCACTGTACATACAGCCCAGGCTGGCTTTAAACTCATAGCCACCCTCCTGCTTCAGTCTTCTAGTGTTGAGAATACAGGTGTCAGCCACCACCCCCAGCTAACTTTCAGAATCTTAAAAGACATTACTTTAAACTTGGAGAATGGTGATGATGGTGTCACAGGTATATACGGCTGAAGGCTGGACTCAATCTGTGTCTTCCAGATCCTTCTCCTTTCATCTCTGTGTATCGGCCTTGAACGTAGACTATCACCCCAGCCTGAAAAGCAGCTTTTCATCCTTGTAGTTCCAGCCGCAATTAATTGAACCAATTGCTGTAGCCTGGGGTTGTGATAGGCAAACTGAGCAGGCCCAGGCCAGGTGCACGTTCTGTGCCCAGCCAGGGAGGGCTGTGCCCAAGGGAGATCCATGGGCTCCTTTCCAAGATGGGGTGTAGCTGTGGGGGATGGCTGAGGCCCCTCCTCAGGTGCAGCTTCCATCTTGGTAATTCTTATCTCCCCTCGCATTCACTGTCCAGTCATTTCCGAGTCCATAGGAATCTCAGGTTTATAGCTGTAACTTCTTGAACCCCAGTCATGAGGCTAGGCTTCCCACAGTTCTTTGCCTGCTTTGGAAGAAGGAAACTGAAGCTCCATCATATTCCATTGTCACTTTCCCTTCATTTTCGCATGTTTTCTGGTTAGCAATAGTTTCTAGAATGCTACCTTCTTTTTTCCTTAAGCACCCTACTCCATTACCACATTTAAATTGCCATAATTAATCATGGCTCTAAAAACCTTACTTTCTAAAACAAAGAGGCAGCAGAGAGACCTGGGGATTACCTCTGACAGTGTACCGACTACCTACCCCATTGGTCTGGGAGGAGGCCAGGGCCTCTGCTGTTGGAGGCCTGGCTCTCCCACTGATCTAGACAGCCCACCTCCCTGATTGTGGAGCAGGCAGGGTGGGGCTTCCAGGCTGTCAGTGCTAGATCTGGAGACAGGGAAGGGCGAAGCACGCATGGGTTCTGCTCTGAGAAAAAGAGCAGAGACAAAGGCAAACAATCCCAAACCTGGCAAGTGGCATTAAGGTCACCCAATGGAGGTCACCCTAAAAGCAGAGAGAGCGGAGGACAGGAAACTGCTGCCACTAGGGGAATGAGTAATGCGTTAGGGTGGGAGCTGCTGGTGTCACCACTGGCCTGGTGTGTTCAGGCAGGCAGGCTAGAAACTGGGGAGGGTAAATGTCAAAGATGTCAGAGAAGCTCCTAAGCTGTTTTAAGATAGGCATCCAGTCTGGGGTGTTTCCCTTGCTTGTTCGGGAAGTTCCTTCAGGCACATTCTGGCTTATCTGTGGAAACAGCGATGGAAGCGGGGCTGCCTGGTTTGTTCCAGGTCGGACTTGTGCCCTACACCTGACTACAGGTTAACTCTGTACCTACGCACCCCTCATAAGTGTAGACCCTTGACTGCTCTTCAGCCGTAGCCTTTATTTGTTCAAGCCTTGCAGAGGGACTCATTGTAGCGGTCATGTTTCACCTGCAGGTGTACCAGGACAATGTGTACTCTCCGGACTGTAGATTCCACTCCTTTAAGAAAGTGCTCTACCAGATGGGGCAGGAGTACTCCAGCAACGTGGAGCTCGCCTCCTTCCACTCTACCTCCAAGGGCTACATGGGCGAGTATGTCAGCCTCTACTCCTCCTCTGCCATTGGCGGGTGTGCTTGGCCCCAGCTCTGCTTCTCTGCGTGGCCCTGGTCCACTCACATGGTTAGAAAGCAGCCCTTGTCCTTTACTGCAAGAATAGGAGGAGCCAGGCTGCATCTCCCTGGTGAATCTAGGGTCATAAGAACTACCCTTATACAGAAGCTCAAGTGAAATGTGGCCATGTTCAAAAGAAACCAGACTGTGGGTGAATGATGGGAATGGAAACAGGTTCCCATAGCAGCCCTAAGTCTGGGTCTTCTGCTCTAACCTTGACTAAAGTCTGAGGGTTCTCTGAATTGGGTGGATGGGTACCAAGCTCTGCACCGGGGGGAGGTGGGGGGGTGGCATATGACTTGGGGTCCATATCTGTGACTTGTATTTTCTGAGCACTTACCCTGAGTTCAGGGCACTGAGGACCCTGGCATTCCAGAGCCACTGTGTTACTGAGGAATGAAGAACTAGGTAAAGGGGAAAGGCGCCTAGCTGCTGGAGAAATGAGGTCAGAGAAGAAGTAGAAATGCCAGGAGTTGGGACTGGAGTTGGAGGAAGAGAGACATCTGGGAGAACAACACTCTAAGCCGCAGGAATGGCGTATGAAGTCCAAAGAGTGATTTTGGCTAGGTCAAGAGAGCTGTCTCCATAGATTGTTCTTGGCTTAATTTGATATAGATTAGTGTATGAGTTAGGTTTCAGAATAAGCAGCTATAACAAAATGGCCCTAAAATAGAGGCTCAAAAAGGGTGAAAATGTATCTGTTTTTGACATAATGGTTCAAAGATACTAGGAAGGCAAGGCTGTGCTCCTGGAGGTCATTCAAGAACTGCGCCCTGTGAGTATGCTTCCTCAATATGTAGTGTCCATCTCTAGGATGGGAACCATCTCCACTTCCCAGGAGACAGGAAGGGAAAAGAAGAAAGAACGAACTTGATTTTCCTTGTAGGGAAGTTGCTTTGTAGTATCAGCTGTTTACTCCCACTGCTAAGAACTCAGCCGCAGCTGCCTTTGGTGCTGAGGCCGTTAGAGAATCTGGTGTCCAAACTGCATTTGCAAGGTCTTCCCGTAACTGGCGGGTATGTTCCCTCTCCTCAACTCTCCAGGTGTGGCTACAGAGGGGGCTACATGGAGGTGATCAATTTGCACCCTGAGATCAAAGGCCAGCTGGTGAAGCTACTCTCAGTTCGTCTCTGCCCACCAGTGTCCGGACAGGCCGCGATGGACATCGTTGTGAATCCCCCAGTACCAGGAGAGGAGTCCTTTGAGCAGTTCAGCAGGGTGAGTCTGCTTGACCCATCCACACCAGGGTTATGGTGTGCCTGTGTGTGACCATCCCTGTCCGTCCTTCAGAGGGCACACATGATGTCTCTTGGTGGCTGAGCCAGCCTGTTGTGTTAAGTCTAAAGACGCATCAGAGTGTGTTTGGAAGTGGAAAGACTTTCTGTGTGGGTGAATGGACTCCCTCTTTCTCACTTGTGAGCATCAGGAGGAATGGGGATCCCAGAAGGAGAGTCCCACGTCTTGCAGAGATTTTTGTTAGAAACCTGAAAAGAAGGGCAGGTAGCTAGGTGCCGCAGCATTGATTTAAAGAACAACAAAACCCTTTTAGATTGTAGAATCTAAAGGTCAGTTCCCAGATGGGATAGGTTCATCTCTTTCTCTTTCGGGGTGGGGGGCCGTGTAGGGGGAGATTTGCTTGTTTGTTTTTTGGGGCACAGGGTTTCATTTCATAGCCCAAACTGTTTTTGAACTCAAGATCCTCCTGCTTCAACCTACTAATGGCTAGGATTACAGGCATACCCACCATACTCTCTTCTCTCTTCCCCTTCTCCTTTGCCCTTCTTCCTCTTTTTCTGTAGTAAAATACCAACAACTAAACTTTTTTTCTTGTTAAATATATAGTTCTATCTTGCTGTAGTGAATGCCTTTAATCTTAGTACTCAGGAGGCAGAGGCAGGAGGACCTCTGTGAGTTTGAGGCCAGCCTGGTCTATATAGTGAGTTTCATGACAGCAGAGCTATATAGAAAGACCCTGTATAAATAGACAAAGACAGTTTTGTTTCATTAAGGAAAGACATTCAAATTGTTATGTAACCATCTCCCATCTGTCTCAAGAACTTTTCCATCATCCCCAACTGAAACATTAGACCTAATAATAAATACGTAGATCTCCATTTCCTGTCTCCGTGAATCCCCCTAAGGTATATAGGCATAGGTGGGATTATACAATGTTTTTTCTTCTGTGACTGGCTTGTTCCACTTGGCACAGGGTCCATCCCTGTGGAGGCCTGCCCAGAACAGCAGACGTCTGTGCAGGTCTGAAGAGGGTTGTGTGTCATTGCCTGGATATACCATGTTCTGTTTACTTGCCATCTTCGGGCCTTACCTTGTTATCTCTCTTGTACAATAGTACTTGCAGAAATCCTGATTGAGTCTATTCCAGCTTTGAATGCTGGCCCAGCTCTGGGATGGTTGCTGACTCTGTCTGGGTCTGTATCCATGTACACCACACTGGCAGAGAATGCAAAGGGATAGTCCATACATAACATGATGGGGCTGGTCTCCAGGGGGACCCGTGCCACTCAGAGTGTTTCTAGGCTATTCCAGCAAGGGCCGTTCAGAATGATGGATGAAAAAATCCCACAGAAAGACCTACCCATCCATCCGTGTCCAAACCCTTCCCCTGCTCCATTTACAGTGCTTGTCACCCGCTGCCCATCTTCTGTCAGTCTGTTCTGTGTGTTGAAGAACAGCACTTTGTAGCCTTATCCAGGATCGTTGATACCTGTGCTTTCTGTCATCATCAGGAAAAAGAATTCGTCCTCGGTAATCTGGCCAAAAAAGCGAAGCTGACAGAAGATCTGTTTAACCAAGTCCCGGGGATTCAGTGCAACCCCTTGCAAGGAGCTATGTATGCTTTTCCTCGGATTCTCATTCCTACCAAGGCTGTGGAGGCAGCTCAGGTTAGAGTGGAGGGCTGGCTGTCTTCCTGGATTCACTTGAGCTGTCTGGGTCATGGCCTTTTGCTTTGGCAAGCCCTGGTGCTGATGTTAGGGGTTTTGATCCCTGTGGGCCTCCTGGACAGATGCAGTTTACTTTGTGACAGCTTCTTAGAGTCCCAACTGCAGCAGAGTGTGGTGGTGATGGAGCAAGTAGGAGGCCAACCCCAAGCGAGAGTCCAGAGTGGACCACATCACTGCTCTTGGAGTGGAGACATAGAGCTTGCAGAAGATCTGGGTCTGGCTTCCATCACCTCTGTGCTGGCTGACAGTCATCCATAACTCCAGTTCTAGGATAGCCAATACCCTCTTCTGATTTCTGAGGACCCCAGGCATTCACATAGCATACGTGCAAGTGAAACACCCATACACATAAAAGAATTAAATCTAAAAAGTATTAAAACCAGACATGCTGGCTCTGAAGGGCAGGACCCAAATGGGGTGTGATACTGGTGCTGGAGAAGCAATGAGAGTCCTCACTACCCCCAGCCACCGCGCCCTGCAGCCAGTGCCTGTTGAGCAGCTACCGGGATGGGGACGGGACATGCTGGAACCCTTGAATGAAGATCAGGAGTGCCACAGCCTCTGCCTGTCTAACAGTAGCCTCAGATGTCTGGGTCCCTGAACCAGCTTCCTGGCCATGACAGGAAAAGGAGAAGGAAGGGTTCTGCCACAGAAAATTCTGCATTCTGGTTCTATGGAGCCTTAATGCCTCCCACCCTCAATGGGGTCTTATTTTGTAGCCCAGGTGGACCCCACTATGTATTTCAGGCTGGGCCTGAATTCAAGGCACTCTTCTTGTTTAAGTTTCTCAAGTCCTAGGATTATAAGTATGAGCCAAAACCAGCTCTGGCTTTGGTTTTGGCTTTTGATGTGTATCGGTCTAGTGTAAAGCCAGACATGAATCTCAAATTCTGTCCTCCTCCCACAGTCCCATAAAATGGCTCCAGACATGTTTTACTGCATGAAGCTCCTAGAGGAGACAGGCATCTGTGTCGTGCCTGGCAGTGGCTTTGGGCAGCGAGAAGGCACTTACCACTTCAGGTATGATGTTTACTGTGGGGGTGGGGGTGCTGGTCCTCACATTGTCCTGGGAAACTTAGATTCCTGCTTTAGAGACTGAGGGTATGAGACTATTCTCCTTGACTGGATCCCATCATGGCAAGCTGAGACTCTGTCAGAAACAAGGAAAACTGGGGCGCTTTGCAGCTGTCCCTCTATGTATTCCTGGACTGGCCTGCTTCTCAGCTGCCTTCTGTCCCTTTTACACTCCATGCCTCTGGATGCACAGAACAAAGCTAGTGCCTTAGTTAGATTTCTGTTACTATCATAAGCACCATGACAAAAAGCAGCTTGGAGAGGAAAGTCTCTATTTGGCTCACAGGTTACAGTCCATCATCAGAGAAAGCCAAGGCAGGAACCTGGAGGCAGGACCTGAGACAGACTACAGAGGAACACTGCTTACTGGCTTCTGTCCATGGTGGCTTGCTCAGCCTGCTTTCTTATATATTCAAGACATCGGCCTAGGGAGGTCTTTTCACATCAATTGTTAATCCAGAAAAAGCGCCCACAGACTTGCCAACCGAATGGATGGAGTTGTTTTCTCAAGTGAAGTTCTTCCCAACTGACCCTAGCTGTGTCAAGTTGACAGAGAAGCCAACCAGGAGAGCCAGGCATAGAACGCCTGTTCACAGAACGCCTGTTCACAGAACACGTGTTCTGTAGCTCCTGTGCCACAGGCCATGACCCTGGGCCCCAAAGCCTGTTAAGGTACTGCACTGACACAGATTAGGTCCACATACAGAGAGGCTGTTCACAGCTCTGTGCAGATGGGCACACAGATTCCCATAGCTGATCCTCACCGAGGCCGCTCTAGTCAGAATACGATCATCTCTTCACAGCTCCTATGGCAGCGTCTCTCGTAGCAGATGCTAAAGAAAGAACTGTCATGAGTTGCTAGCACCTAGAGCCAGGTCTTTGCTCAGAGATACAGGTGGTGTTATAAAAGAGACTATCTCCTACATGGCCTTTTTATCCTTGGCCAGGTCTTCTGCTATGATTCATGATCCATCCAAAATGGAGAGCTGGGATTACAGTATAGCTTAGGATCATAGGATGAGTGTGAAGTCCTGGGTTCCTTGCCCAGCAGACCACCAAAAGTTGTTGAGTTGGGAAAATGTTGTCAGGACTGGAGGGAGAAAGGTTAGTTTTGTGGCAACTGGAAATATCTTTGAAGTGAAAGTTGTGATTTGTGGCTGGCTTACTGTCAGAAACTGAACACCAGGACACACTTCTATATCTGTGCATGCACGCATGCACACACACATACACACAGAGTGAAATGTTCAATTTTCGAAAGACTAGGAATCATGTTCTAGGATTACAGTGCATTTTGACCATTTGCCTAGCATGCACAAAGCCCTAAATTCGGTCCCTAGCACCACAAAAGAGGGGGGTAGAGTCATGTTCTAGAAAGTTCTCCATACTAGTCACAACGTGCTGCTGGAGCCACATTTTGCAGGGCATGCCTGTAGTTTAAGCACTTTAAGACGTTGAGGCAGAAGAATTACTGTGACCTCAAGGCCAACCTAAGCAGCAGGGTAAGTTCCAGAATAGCCAGTGCCATATGAAACCCTGCTTTATAAAAGAAGAAGGGGGTGGGAATAAGGCAGTGGCAGGCAGATCTCTGGGAGTTCATAGTCAGTCTGGTCTACATAGCAAGTTCTAGGACAGCTGGGGCTACATAGAGAGAACCTGCCTTAAACATACAAACAAATAACAACAATAAAACCATGGTGCTGGCCTTCTGCAATAGAGAAAAATATGTTTTGGTGACTCAAAATCCAGTTTATTGCTTTAGTAGACAGGTCGTACTGTGGTAAAAACGCCTGTGTCTAAACCACTATGGGGATAGGGGTCTACAGTCTCAGCTTCTTGGAGGCTGGGACAAGAGTGTTGCTCAACCTCAGGGTTTCACCACTCATCTGGGCAACACTGAGAATGGAAGGAAGGCTGGGGAGACAATAGCTTCACAATCATTAGGTGCTCTCAGGGCCTTGAACTCCCAAAGCAGATGAGGTAGGGCCATCTCTCCTTTCAGGGCTCACCCTCCCTGCCTCATCTCCACTCAGCAGTACAAGGAGTGTCATTGGATTCATCCTGTGAGCAGCCAGGCTGATGCTGTTCTCTTTCCTGACAGAATGACGATTCTCCCTCCAGTGGAGAAACTGAAGACAGTGCTCCACAAGGTGAAAGATTTTCACCTCAAGTTCCTGGAGAAGTATGCGTGAGGATGCCTCAGGAGCCTGAGGGAGACCTCCTCTTGGCTCTCCGTCCCAATACTACCTGGGTCTTCCTCATGGACTCTGCCTCAGACTGCACAACAGGTTACCAACCCTGTTCGTCATGATTTTTCCCAGGAGACTTCTTTCTTTGTGCCTTGATGTTGAAAGTTCTCTTCCGAGCAAGTGGGGCTTTTGCAATGTCGTGCAGGCCCTGTGTTCTTTAATGCAACCAGACTGAGTCAACTTGTTCAGCAGACATAGCTGGAATTCTCTGGATCACCTATCGCTGTTGTGTTTGGAGAGTTCCTTTGGGTTCTAAGCAGCCAGGGTACATTGAGATGAGATATTTCAGATCTGGAGAAACCAGCAGGTATTAGAAAATATGTGACTTAACATGGTAAGGACTGGAAATCCAGAAACTGACAGTGGGATCCATGAAATAAGGCCCTTAGCAGTGTGAAAATGTAGAGTTTTGAGAACAGTAAATCTGCAAGTGCAGTGAGGACTAGGAGAAAGCTTGTCATTCTGGTCTGGGGCTAGGCAGCTCTTCACGGACAAGAATATTGAAGCCAGTAGTAAGAGAGGGGTCACATCAGATACAAGGTTACTGAACACAGAGTTGGCGGGGGCCATGCCTAGGTTAGAGTTCCTGAGTGGAACTGGGTGTAAAGCAGGCTGCGAGTTCAACTTGTGTCTTCTGGACAGCATAGCCGCGTGATGGCCCCGCACACTGTGCTTTACACAAGCTTTTGCTGAGACCTTGGTATAAAAGGTCTCCTTAGACTTCAGGGGCATTGGGAAAAGCCCTGAAATGTCTTGGTTATGTGACGATTCTCTTTGCTGTGGATGGATCCATCCCACTGGTTAGTTAGAGGCAATTTCCTCCAGAAGGTTTGGCTGAGCCTTTCTTTATACTCATTGCCCTCTGCTGGTGGCAGCAAAGATAAGCAAATGCCCTGAATTAGGAGGTGATCCTTTAAAGATCTCACAGTTAAGCCCCTGCCAGTGTTTTTTTTAATTGTTTAAAACTAAATTTGGCTCATTTTGTAACTTTAATTGATTACAGTGCCTGGTACACGGCTGCCATGAAGGAGCACATGCCATCCGAGTCAGGGTGTTTTCACATCAGTTTCCGGCCTCACTCCTGACCTGTGGACAGTGTCCTATATCATTAGCTGTCCCTCCATGTCAGAGTAGCAGCCACCAACGAACTTTATTCCTTGAATTAGCACACCTGGGTGGGGCCATGAGCACTCCAAGTGAACAGGGGCTACAGGGAGCTCCAGGCCAGGTTCTCCTTCCCATCTTCCCTCTACTGTCTACTTTCTTCAGTGAGAAGTGAGGGAAGCTATGACTAGCTCAGCAGCCTGGTACCCAGTGAGTCAGGGGGAGCTTAAGAGGTTAGAGAGAGAAATGTGAGGGCTGCGTAGAAAGGCCGGAAACCAGCCTCCTACGCCATGATTCTACACTGCAGGGGGATGCAATTTTTAAAAAGAACTTCAATCTTTTAGCACTCAAGAGCATTATGTTACTGTGAAGGGAGTGAGTAGCCACATTTGTAACAAGATGGAACGTTCTGGAACTATTCCTTTAAAAGTTGAAAAGGTAGGGTGTGTGCTTGCTAGGCATATAAGCCAGATGTGCTCCAGAGTGCTGAGAGTCCCCGATGAAAGGTTAACAAGAAGCTAGTATATTTTTTATATTTTTGTAACAATTGCTTTTTTTCATGGTGGGTAGGTGGGTTAGTATTTATAGTCCTAACAAGTCCAATAATTTTTATAGGTGTCTTCAAATTATAAATAATCCTCCAAATTTTGCAATGTTTACATGTTTTTTTTAAAGACGACAATTATGCTTGATTTGCTTTTTAAATAAAAGTTTAGCTGTTCTAAGAGATTAACTTCAAATAGGAATGCTGGCTATAATAGTTTGGATTTTCTACAGATTCTATTCCCTTGCCCTTTTTCGTGCCGGTGTCACTCAAGAAAGTTGTTTGTCATTTGGGGATTCACTTAAGAGGCTACACCTTTGAGGTTTTTCTTCCTCCCAGTGCTCCAAGAGGCATGTGGGTCGTGCTGTGGAAGCCTGGGCCAGGCTGGACCTGGGCAGTCACACCTCAGAGATGACATTCATTTGGATGTAGGAGCAGGCACAGGTCTGCCTGCTTATTGCTGTTTTTCATCATCAGTTCTTCAGGCCTCCTCAACAGAGGTTCTTGATAATAGCTGTGCTGGAAAGTTCTGAACAATAAAATGTGTGCTCAGAATGGTGATTGATCAACTCTGTCAGTAAAATCTAAAGGGTGAATGGGGCTGAGTGTGGTGGCATGCACCTTAATCCCAACACTGGGGAGGCAGGGGCAGACAGTGTCTGTGAGTTTGAGTCCTGTCTGATCTACATAGTAAGCGCCTATCTCAAAACAAAATTAAAAACAACAAAATAGTAAGCAGTTGAGTTGATGTCATTAATTCTATATCTTTGTGTGTGTGTTCCTGAACGGTAAATCTGCCTAACTATCACAAACTGGAACCAATAGCTTCTGCTTCTTAAGGTTTGACTGTAAAGACAGGGAGTCGCTAAGTTGGAGATGCCTCATGGGTCTGTCTCTGTTTTTGTGTTGACACAGTGTCTACCATAATAGCACTTGCTGTGTACACTAGACTGACCTTAAGCTCATTGTGTAGTCTAAGGATGGCCTTGAACTCCTGATGTTCCTGCCTTCACTTTCTAAGTGCTGGGATCATAGGCTTGTGCCACCATTCCCTGCTCTAAGAAGATGTTGAAAGGAATGTGGACTTTGGCTTTCTGCTGGTAGTGAAATAAGAGATAGAGTCTTCATAAGGTTAGAGAGGTGGGAATAGGAGCTGGAAAGCTATAGGACATGGTGTGTCGATACAGGACATTATATTGATTTTGCTTACATTTCCCATTCTACATCTATTTTTTTAAAAAAAATTTATTTATGTATTTATTATGTCTACAGAGTTCTGCTTACATGTACACTGCATGACACAGAGGACGCCAGAACTCATGGCGTTGTGAGCCATGATGGTTGTGAGCCACCATGTGGTTGCTGGGAATTGAACTCAGGACCTTTGGAAGAACAGTCAGTCCTCTTAACCTCTGAGCCATCTCTCCAGCCCTGTACATCTATTTTGAAATATGGCTTTTAAATTTAAAATTCCCCAAACTAAGCTTTCTATATCTTTATTAAAATTTAGAAAGTACACAAAGAAAAAATAATTGGGACTCTTACTAAGAATCATTAGGAACCCTTTCAACATAGTTTAAGCGAAGAAGTCGGCTACCGTAGTAAGTTGTAGGGAAACTGGCCTCGTTTCGAATGTTTACTCTGGGAAGTACAGAGGCCGCCTTGACCTGTTGCACACATAGAAGTTTCATTGTCCCGAATATCCTTTCCTGAGGCAGTTTTTATGGCTTGTGATAATAGGGTGCTTTGTGGGGCCTGTGTACAGAGGAGGTGAGAACAGGTCTTAGGATCGGCAGCCTCACTGAATAACAACAAATCAGAAGTTACTCCCCAAAGAAAGGGGTTGGGACAGTGCTATGCCAACAAATCACATTTGCTATGGGCCACTTTAGTGTAGGGATAGAGGAGTGTGTGTTCAAGAAGTGTATGTGTGTGTGTGTGTGTGTGCGTGCACATGCGTGCATGCACAGTAGCCCACAGAGGCTTGCTTCCCCTGGCATGATCAGCCTACTTTCTTACAGAACCCAGAACCCCAGCCCATGGATGGCATCACCTACTATGGGCTGGGCCCTCCCCCACTGATGATTTGGTTCTTAAATATCCCCCAATGTCGTGCACTCAAGCCTTGGTTACAAGCCGGTGGCACTATCAAGGGATAGTTGAACTTCAGGAGGTGAGGTCTAGTGGGAGGATGTGAGTTGTGGAGGCACACCCTTAGGGGCTGTCAGCTCCCCAGCCCCTCTTCTCTTTCCTGCCATGTGCTCCCCACCGTGGGGTGCTGCCTCAGCAGAGGCCCGGACTGAGACAACAGCCTTTCTATTTCATCAGATTCACACAGCTTATTTACCAGAATATCACATGAATGGCCCCATCCTCCATCTTTATTAGCTCCTGTTCCCCTCTGAAGCCTCATGAACCAGGCCTCCGCTGTCCTCATTTCTTTCAGAGTTGTTCTCCAGGCTCCCACAGGCACAGCCCATTAACCTCTGCTTGCAGTACTCAAAGGCTTTTCTAGCCCAAACTTTCAAACGCCTCCACATTCCTCCAGCCAATCAGTTCCAAAGAGCTAGGAACTACACAGTTGAGTTTATCCCAGCAACAGCCCCACTTATCAACAGGGTTTGTTTGTTTGGTACTGTTTTCCCATTTATGATGATAAAGCACCTGAAAAAGGAATCCTGAGGAAAGAATATATTCGGGCTCATAGTTTAAAGGTGCATGGCAGCAGGAAGTCATGGCAGCAGGGAGTCATGGCAGCAGGGAGTCATGGCAGCAGCACCTCGAGGCAACCACCACACTTAGGAATGCTTGTGTTGAGCATACGTTCTCCTTTATCATCATCATCATCATTATTATTATTGTTATTATTTTGGGTTTTCAAGACAGGGTTTCTCTGTGTAGCCTTGGCTATGCTGGACTTGCTTAGTAGCCGAGGCTGGCCTTGAACTCAGACATCTGCCTGCCTCTTCCTCCCTGGGTGCTGGGATTACAGGTGTGTGCCACCACACCCAGCTCTCCTTTTTATTCTTTATGGGACCCCAGACCTTGGAATGGTATTTCCCTACTTAGGGGTGGGTCTTTCCCCCTCAGTTAACCTAATAGAGATAAGCCTTCACAGATATAACCAAATACTTGTTTACACAATAGCGATTCTAAATCCTACCAACTGTCCATCAAGAGTGAGCACAGCACTGAGTATGGGGAGCTTGCACTCCTAATTCTCTTGCTCCTCCCTCCCTGATGCTAGGGTTACAGGGCTTGCATTTCACCCAGCTCCAGCCCTTGGGTGTGCAGTGACTCAGGTAAGGTGCATTTAATACATGGCCTTCAGATGGTTTCCACACTGTTGTTACCTATGGTGTTTTCAGTCACTGGGCTTATAAAATGTCTTAGAGTACGTGTACAGACTCACACTAACAAAATATTAATCACCCATGCACGATATAGTAATGCTTTAGAATGTCTTGCTCAGACAGAAAGATGTCACACTGGGAGCCATCCAGGTAGGCTGCCAAGCCTGATGGTTTAGGTTTGGTTCCCAGAGAGAATCCACTTCTACAGGTTGTCTCCTGAGTTTCACATGCACACCACAAGGTGTGTGTGTGTTTACAAATGTAGGGCTGTGTGGTGGCGCACTCCTTTAATCCCAGCACTCAGGAGGCAGGGGCAGGCAGATCTCTGAATTTGAAGCCAGCCTGGTCTACATTGTGAGTTCCAGGACACACAGGGCTACACAGAAACCCTGTCTAAAAAAAAAAAAAAAACAAACAAACAAAAACCATAACCATAATAGGGAGCTGGAAAATGGCTTAGCTGTTAAGAGGATTTGCTACTCTTACAGAGGACCTACACCAGGGGACCTAGAATCTGAAGTTTCAGCTATTAAGACATGTATCTTTCTGGACTAGGACTAGTAGGTAAGAAAAGAGTGGGAAGGGAGTATTACAATATTGTCTTATGCCCCTCTCACTGAGTTGTTTGTTATCAAAAGACTTGGGGGCCTACCTTTAAAAGAAATAGCTCAGTTTTCCTGATAAACTCTGTAGAATCAATCTTTAGATGCTTATGAAAAGGCCAAAATTTATAGATTCTAGTTCAGTCATCAGTGACCCAAAGAAGGGCTCAACTCCTGGTGATACCAGGATTGGCAAATAAAGTTGCTACTTGGCTTTTAGGTGGCTATCTCATTAATAAACACCTAGATTTTCTCAGCTATCTACACAGCATTGTCCTTGACTGAATGAATCCCCGGCTTATAATTTATTGTACAAATTGAGTATCATAATGGGTTCACATCAGCCTCTTCAGGTGTGTGACTTAGCAGATAGAGCCTGATATTTTAGTATCTGTTTATTAATGTTGCTTCACAGCTGGAGGTGTTTGTTGTTTGTTTGTTTGTTTGTTTAGGTCTTAGTGTAAGACCAACAATGCAGTGTTTATATATTTGCTCACTACACAATTCACTCTACTTGTGAGAGAGTATAGATGAGTTGAAATGTTTTTAATAACAGTGATATGGAATTGGCCATTAGTTTCTGGACCGTCCATGACTTCAATCTTTGTCCGAGTTAAATTCTGCAGCCAGTATGTTCATGTATCCTGTTAAGTGGACATCATTAAATACAGATCCCCATTTTATAGGTTTGGTTCTATTATGAGTTATAGCACAGCTTTCTGTATTTAAATTGTACTTAAGTACACATGTAAATAATTGTTACTTGTTTGAGAAGCCAAATATGTCAGCACAAGAGCTTAGATGGTTTAAAAGAAAAAGGTTACAAAAGAATGGTCCAGCCCTGCAAGGTTACTTCATTTTAAACATATTTGAGAGCAAGGCATGATGACAGGAGACTGGGCCCAGGATGACATGGATCACTTGGATCCAGGCATTGAAAATCAACCTGGGCAACACAGCAAAAACCTATTTGTGCCTCACCTATAATCTAAAATCCTAGCGATAGGATTATAGCACTAGCTATAATCCTATCAAAGCCAGCATGGGATACCTCTAGAGTTCCAAGCCAACAACAGAAAAGAAAAAGAAGAAAAGAAACATGGATTTTTTTTTTTTTTTTCTGTTCTCAATCCTTTATTAAAGGATGATATTGTTCTTCTAGAATTTGTTTTCAGGTCAGTATTTCAGATCCTCCATATCTAAGATTTATTTCAAAAAGAGCATGAAGCACTCCTGTCGGTTACTTATTTAAATTCTACTTTGTGCCAGTGGTGCACTAGGAATTTTTTGTGTGTTTGGGTCTGCAGATCAAATCCAGTGCCCTACTCATGCAAGGCAAGTGCTCTGCCGCTGAGTTCCATGCCCAGTCCTAGGAAGTTTGCAGTCCGGTTCACAACCCTCTATAGCTCCAGTTCCAGGGAAACCAACACTCTCTTCTGGCATCAGGAGCAGACGTAGAACACAGATAAGCAGGGAAAAAAACAAAACAAAACAAAACAAAAAAAAACCACCCACACACATAAAACAATAATTTAAAAACACAAGGAAGAGCTAGTCCTCTTTCCTACTTTGGAGAAAAGCTCCACCTGGCACAGTGAGAAAGCCAGGATGGTATACACTGGGGACTGGAAACATGAAGCCACACCTGGAATGCAGAGTTGTTAAAAAGAGTAATTCTGGGGGCTGGAGGGATGGCTCAGTGGTTAAGAGCACTGGCTGCTGCTCTAGAAGTATTAAGTTCAATTCCTGGCAACCACATGGTATCTCACAACCATGTATA